CATGCGCCCTAGGCCCGCCCGCGACTCGCTACCCACAGTGAGTTCAGCCGGACCCGTTCTCTTCCTCGACCGCAAGCACGTGCGCGGGGAACGCGCGAGGGTCACGGTCACTGAGGGGCTTGGGAAAGGAGATGCCTCGTCCGCTGGACCTCCCTTCGCACAGGCGCACGCTGGCGAGGATTCCTGCCTCCAGGGCTCCCTGGAACTCCGAGCCTGCCCAGCTGCGAGGCTTGACCTTGTCCCCTCCCAAAGTATTCCCTTCGGCTTTCCGTGAGCCTCCGGCAGGGATGTTTCCTCCCAACGCTGCGGCGAAGGGAAAAGTTTGGTAGGTGTTATCTCGACCGCCTTCGCCAACGCTGGCGAGCAGCTTGGGGACGCAGCCAACACCGGGCATCCACCTCGACAACTCCCGGAGCTCTCCTGGTCGGTATCCTTTTTAGATGGCCGCAGCAGTGACAACCCAGGAGCTGTGGGCCTGTGGGTGCGGGGACGCCCCGCAAAGCAGGAAGGGAAGGCGTTTGGGTTGGCTTGGGTGCCCAGGGTCGGTGCCGGCTCCTCCAGGCGGCTGCTGGCTCTCTCCGGAGTCGCGGTCGGAGGCTGGAGCCACTGCCCGCCAGACCCACACCCTCGAGCAGGTCACTGGCCTCCGCGCCTTCCCCCACACACCCGCGCGGCTAGCGTAGTGCGGGGGACCCAGCGCCGTCTCCTGAACCCCGCTGCAAAATCTCCTGGGCTGGAGCATAGGAGAGGAAATCTGCGTTCTCCTTCCCCACTCCCCCGCTTCTGCCAGCGTCAGAGAAACGGAAGTACGTAGGGAGGACCCTGAGCATCAGGGAAGTTTGGCAATGGGCTGCAGACGCTGTCAAGATTCCCTGCAGTGCGCTGCCCCCTAGTGACCGCTGTGTGTTCATTTCCCGGCCCAACACAAACCCTGGTCAATTGGGTGGCGGCTACAAAGCCAGGTTGTTGCCAGGGCCAATGTCAAAGAGGCATTCAGGTCCCGCCTAGCAGTCAGACTAGCCTGTGGTTTGTGAAGTTAAGTGTAACTTGCTTTTTAACTTTTCAGGGAGAAAATAATATTTGCTAAGGCTTAAATGCCAAGAACATGCCTATGAATTATCCTATACTAGAGGCCCAGTGCACAAAATCATACACAGGCGGGGTTCCTAGGCTGCAATCAGAGCCATCTTCTGCCTGCTCGCCAGTCTCCAGGCCCAACCCAACACCACCCCAGTTCCCCTGTGGTTCCCCGTTGGCCATCCAGTGATCAGAGCCTGTGAGTTGGGTGGAGGGGCCAAGAGGTGGTCAACGCACCTCATAGCGACTAGTCGATCCCAGTCGTTACACCATTATGGGATAATATATTATATTATCCTTTTATTATATAAGATAATAAAAGGCTAATATGCAAATTGAGCAAACCAGGGTGACTGGTTGCTATGATGCACACAGACCCCAGCAGGCAGATGCTCAATGCAAGAGTTGCCCCCTTGTGGTCTGCGTTCCCACAGGGGGCACAGCACTCAGCCAGAAGCCAGGCTCATGGCTGGCAAGCACAGCAGCTGGGGCAGAAGCTTCTCCCCCTCCGCGGTAGTGCTAAGGATGTCCGCTTGCAGGCTTAGGCCCCCTCCCTGCAGGGAGAGGGCCTAAGCCATCATTCAGACATCCCCCGAGGGCTCCGGGACTGCGAGAGGGTGCAGGCCAGGCTGAGGGATCCTCCAGAGTGCATGAATTTTGTGCACTGGGCCTCTAGTTTTATATAATCCTCTAAACAGCCCTGTGAGATAATTATTTTAACCTCATTGTACATGTGATAAAGGTGAACCTTATAGTTATGAAATCATGGAGGCTGAATTTTGTTAGTTTTGGTATCTCCAGAACCTAATGCATAGAAAAGATCACATACCATTAGAATGTGAGATCCCTATAAGCTACATAATTTACACTAATATCTCCAGTGCCTAGGACAGTGCCTGGGCACTTAGTAGGCTCTCAATAAATACTTGATGAATTAATGAAAAAGTTCTCAGAATCATCCATCGCCTAGTGGTGATTTGAACACTCAAATCTTAGCATCTCAATTCCAGGTCTCCTGAACACATATCAGGATACCAGTTCCTGGAAACTTTGCTACTGATGGCAGCAAGAGACCTTCCCAACATGCTTTGTGGACATCCCACAGAGTGTAGATTTCTGTATGTATTGTTCACATCAGCACAGGCAACTGTGTAAGACAGAATGCATCACGGCACTGCCTGGCCAGCAGGAACCTGGGAGCAGACTTCCCGAGAGGCCCAGAAAAAGGGAATGCACATCCCAGGGCACAGAAATGCCTTCACATTCTATCTTCACTTATTGACTGGCTCAGGAATAGCAAAAGGAAATTTTCCATAAGATCTGTTGGCAGAAAAACGACACCAGGTTTCAACCTTAGTTCAGCAGCCTCAGTCCTTGAGTTTTGGATGAGAAAAGAATTCAGAGCCATGACTTCAATTATAAGAGAAATTTATTTAGAAAGTCACAGAGGTAGAAGTGATCCATAGAAGAAATGGGCTCAGGAAACAGGTTACAGAAAAATAAGGGCCTTTGGAGCTTAGGGGAGAGATGGGGTGGGGGGAGAGCACGCCTGGGGGACGAAGGGGGTAGGAAAGACACAGAGTGATCCCTAGAGAGAGCCACACTGGGTCCTCCATCCCCAGGGCTTTTATCTGAAGTCTCAGGGGAGGCTCTCAATAGAATATTCATCAGCTTGTGTGTCTCCTCAGAGTCCTGGTCTCCACTGACTGGTGGCACTAGGGGAAGGGAATCATTAGCCATTGCAGCTAGTCCTGATGTCAGCAAACCGAGTGGTTCAGCCTGGTTTTGCTGCTTTTGGGGGTCCTGGAGCTGAAACACAGCTGAGGTCTAGATGTCATCTCTAATGCTTAAAGAAGTGGTCACACAGGGGCTTGTACTTTTGCACGTTGCTAAGCACCCAGGGTTTTCCACCCTGGTGACACTCTGCATCTAGCCCATCGTTCCTGCTCTGCTCATGCTGCTAACTGCCTACTAGAGACCCAGAATGCTAAATTCAAAAGCAGGTAGCAGGGACATGGGACACAAGGGAGAGCATGAGGGGAGCCCTCAGACACTGGAAAGGCTGGCAGAGAGCAGGCTACCTATGATGACATGTCCTGGAAGCAACAAAAACCAACTTTAGCTAGGTTTTCAAATCGATGAGGATCAGGACCTCATGCTGAGGGCCAGATTACTGCAGCCCACCCTGTGTGTCTTACTCTGCACTCTTCTCTATTGATGACATGCTCCTTCCCTCTCTTGCAATAGCAGGCTCTACTTCCCACTCACGTGATAGGAAACATGGTCAGTGCTACACAGCCCTGCACCCGGGGCTTTAGCCACTGACATGGGCTCCTCTGACACTGACATAGGCTGGAAATTTTAGAACCATATCAACCAAGCTTGGCCCACATGTCACTCTCTGGACCAGTGTGTGCTGGCCACAAGAGCAGGATCATATGAAAACTGCCAGCACACTCAGGAGTCACACAGGAGAAGTGAGTTTCCAGAACAGGTGGGATGTGAGGCAGACAGAACCACAGATGCCCGTGCCCATGTTGGGGGCCCAGAACCACCTCTCTGTCCTCAGTTTCCCTCCCTATTATGTACAACTGAACTCCACATTTCTCAAACCTTTTGTCAGCCCCTGACTTAACTTACTCCCCAGCACAGACAGGCTGGGCAGGGCGATGCTAGGCCATGGAGCATGGTGGGACTGCAGTGAGCTGTGCTACGCCTTGCAAAGGAGTAGGTGCTGCTCAGCCCCAGCCTATCACATGCTGCCTTGAAAAAATGAGGGCCCAGCATTGGCAGACCTTTCTCCTTTTCAAGAGAAGTTAGAGACCTGTTTTTCATGTGAGATTGTCTGATGTTCAATAATTGGCAACCAATTCAGCTCTCAAAAAACACCACGTTAGCCAAATAAAATGAACATGTGGCCAAATTGGCCCACAGGCCACCAGTTTGCAATTTCTGGTTGAAGTAGCCAAGTAAAATGTACTATAGCATAAAGGAATTTAAGGCCATGAACTAAATAGTTGAGGTATTACAAATACAGTTTTATGTTACTCAGTTAAATCTACACATGTTCATTCAGTCAATCATATAAGTAAATGATTGAGAAGATCTGGCTTAAGAGTCATTCCTATGAAGTTTTTTGGAATTCAGCTGACCACAAGCATAATATGAGCCAACATGAGTCATCAGTGTAGTATGGCTGCCTAGAAAAGTAATGAAATCTTAGGATGCATTAACGGAAGTGAAGGAGGTAGATATGGAAAGAAATTATCTCATTGAGCTTCAATCTTGTAGATTTCATTTGTGAGATTACTTTCAATTCTAGGAGCAAATTTTTTTAAATCTTTATTGTTGAGAGTATTACAGATATTCCCCCCCCCCCCCCCCGTATTCTCTCCTTCCACCAGGTTCCCCCCCACAAGGCCTTCACCACCCTATTGTCTGTGTCCATAGGTGTTGAGTAAGACTCCCTCCACGTTCTGCGTGG